ATCGTTTAATGTACGTGATGAAGGATGTCGTAAATAACGGGGGATCAACATACTGGCAGAATGGAAAAAAATACAAATTCGTCGTAGATTTGAACTATAATTTCTTGGAAGATATCTGTCCAGGTACATTCATGTTATCCACACATAAAAACAAGCCTTCAAAGAATTCTTGTTAGCAATAATAGCCCGTTATAGTTAGTCCGACGTTAAAAATACCGATTTAAATTGCAGCAATTTTTGGACGTGTCTTCTTTTCGACGAGGAAATAAGAATGTGGGACTAATCGGACAACCCCAAAATTTAACTGTGTAAAAGTAAATGTTATGCTAAACCTGTGGTTGAAATTTCATTATTGTTCTCGGACTGGTTCGATATTTTCGAGCGATCTAAAAATTGGTGTTTTTTACTAATTGAATTCATTCAAATGTAAACAAACAAATTATTATTATAAATTAATAAATAATAGTGATTTATTAACTAAATTGACATTCATGTCAATTTCACCAAAATAGACGAAAGTCATACAACATATCGCCAAAATAGTGAAAGTACTGGAGCGAAACATACTGTACTTCTATGACTATCTCTGTACGACTATATGAAGCAGTACTGAGCGACTACTTCTTTATAAATAACAATTACACAGGCGTCCAAATTGTACGCACACACGCTGACACGCATCACAAAATGTATTTATATATATAGTGGTTACATTATGACACAATTGTGATGTCATGACAATACTTAGTGACGTAATATATAAAATAAAACGTTAAGTGCATATATATATATATATATATATATATATATATATATATATATATATATATATATATATATATATAAAATAAAAAGTGAATTATAAAAGGTACGTACAGTAAGCTAAATATTTGAGAAATAAAAAAGATTATATTGCTGAATAATGAATTAATTATATACGTCGAATGGCAAGCGCGCCCGCCCCTCCCCCGGTCCCTGCGCCCCTGACAACTTTATCCACACGTTTACATGCATCAGAAGAGGAAAATCGCAGCAATAATTGCAAGTGTGTAAACGACGCAAGCGGTAGTGACACAACAATGCAAGAAACGTCGATTGATCGACTTTTACTTCAAGTAACTGTTCAAAATTTTGTACAAGATTCAAAGTTTGTACAAGACGCCCGACAGGCGTTCTCTAGCTTCATCTACGGGTGAACTGAGGTATTAAGGGGGAGTTCATTATTTATGGTTGGGGGGGGGGCGGCATTTCACACCTTCTCCCTCTCAATATCTACATGATTCCCCTCTCGCAACGGCAAAACTCACATGACCCCCCCCCGCCCTAAAGAAAAGACCAAAAACCTTTATGCCCCCTGTTTTATATAAAACACAGTACAAATGTATAAATATGGTATGTACAATATTAGTTAAAAAATTAAAAAGTCTTTATTTTATGACGTTAGTAATAGTGCAAAAGCTCCTGTAAACTTGCAGCCATATAATAATCAAAATTTTTATGTTCATGTTCTACCGATACCTTAACGAGGTCAAAACTTTGCCAAAACTAAAACTTTCATGACCCCCGCCCCCCTTCCTCAATTACTCCTCAAACTCCGATGACCCCCCAAAAAACAAAAAACACATTTTTTTGCCCCGGCCCCCTATGATCCCCCCCTCCCCCCCTAACCATAAATAATGAATACTCCCTAGGGAACAGCTGATCTGCAGTACTATAAATTGTAGAATATAATTAGCCTAACAGCTATTATTTAGTTGTTATTAAGGTAATTCAGCTGTGCGCAATTTACTCTAGTACGTTCATAAATACATAGTCGAAAAATATTAGATAGCTTTAATTAATATTAAGACAATCAGCATTCTGATGAAGTCACTTTGGCGTGATTGACATTTGACATGCATATAAATAACAAAGAATTATATTAATATGGTTCATCAAGCGATATACATGGACGGTATAAAGACTCAAAATGAATGTTTTACATCTATGATTTCTTGCATTTGTGTCTTTTTGGCAGACAGAGATTACTAGAAAGGGACTGGGAGATTGATAACAAAATCACCGGCTTAGTTACTGCGCTTCATGCAATTCAGAATTTGTTTGTTTACATTTGAATTCAATTACTGAATTAGTGAAAAACACCAATATTTATGTCGCTCGTTAACATCGAATCAGACAGAGGACAATAATGAAATTTCTACCACAGGTTTGGCGTAACATTTACTTTAATACAGTGAAATTTGGAGTTTGTCCGATTTGTCCCACATGCTAATTTCCCTCGTCGAAAAGAAGACACATCCAAAAATTGCCACAATTTAAATCGGTATTTTTAACGTCTGACTAATGATAACGGGCTATTATTGCTAACAAGAATTCTTTCAAGGCTTGTTTTTATGTGTGGATAACATGAATGCACCTAGGCAGATATCTCCCAAGATATTATAGTTCAAATCTACGACGAATTTGTATTTTTTCCATTCTGCCAGTATGTTGATCCCCCGTTATTTACGACATCCTTCATCATAATACATTAAACGATGTATTGGTTTAGAAGAGCAGTCTCAGATTTAGTACTCTACCAAATTTTGTCTTTATATGTATAGTGATAAACGAGATATTGATGTGCGAATTATGCCGAAATTACAAATTCTGTCAAAATGGCGACTTCCGCCATTGACAATCACGCAGTGTTTTGCTCATATTTCCTGAAATATTTAATGTTATCTGGCAAAAATTCACACAAATTCTAATTATATAATGATCTAAAAGTGTACCAAAAATCAACTAAATCTGTAATGCTTGTGCAGGAAGTTTAGTCGATTTGGCGTGGAATGACCATATATATATATATATATATATATATATATATATATATATATATATATATATATATATATATATATATATATATATATATATCACGTGTACCAAGCTGCACTGACGAGGCGTTGAACGCCGAAACATGCATGTCTGCAGATTGTACTATAACGCTCCTTCACTTCGGTGTTGTTGAGCACTCTGCGGAGTTGTTAATGGGTTTCTATTAGCGATAATAGTGAGCTTAAGCAAGTGACGTTTTTGACAACACGAACGGCATGAGTAACGTCAGAAGACTGGGTCAAGGGCTGTGATTGGTGAAAAACGTCAACTTTACTTCCGGTCGACGTCCGTGTTGTCAAAAACGTCACTTGCTTAAGCTCACTAATGCAAAGCTCACTTCCCTTGTGGTGTTTGAGCACTCTGGCCCCATTACGCTCTGCACATGTCTGGATGCGTTGAGTCACCGTGTTGTACCACATGCCTTGGTGAGAGCAAGTTCATGGGGTATAAATACGAGTGTCTCACGTAACTAGACGCGTACCAAGCTGCACTGACGAGGCGTTGAACGCCGAAACATGCATGTCTGCAGATATATATATATATATATATATATATATATATATATATATATATATATATATATATATATATATATATATATATATATATATGTATATATTTATATATTGCATGCACTTTGTTCTGTTATTTTAGATTAGTATTGTGTGATTCAAATAGCCAACCGTATAAGTTATCTTTATGAGAGAGATTTACGATTGTATATGTATGTAAAGAAAAACGTTGAATAAAGTTTCCATTATTATTATTTTATTATTATTATGATATCGGTCTCAACTGGCTGCACTCTGTTAATGGACATTCTATGGGTAAAGGTTGACCTGGGCAAGTTTCCTCATGAGAGGGAGACGTTCCTGCCCGATTGAAGGATTGAACAGTTTAGTAATTATAGGCGCTATAAAAGATGTGAGAAGTCTTTCCATAGCCAATATAGCAGTCAATAAAGACCTGGCGTTGTTCGTTTTACTTTCATTAAAAAAATTATGACAGTAGGCTCGTCAACAGTAGGAGCTTGAGTGCCGACAGGAATTAATATTGGCTGGGGGATATATAATTCACATCTGTATTTTACACTTGGAAAGTTCGAGTTGATAACATATTGATCCATGACTGAACTAATATTATTGTTCTTGATTTTTCGACCAGTTATTCTATTAACAGCATCCCACTACTTCTTGGATCCACTAGTACTTTTCTTGCTTTCATCATTAACAGCAGGCACTAGACTTTCACGAATTAGTTCACCAATACGTTTTTCAAGATCACTGTTTATTCCCTTTGTTATGATATTGTATCTTATCTTATATAAGTGTTTGACCAGGGGAGATATAATTATTATATGGCGGATCGAATGTGGACATTCTTACTTTAATTAAAGGTAGGGTACTGTCCGTATGTAAACAAAGCTTTGTTTACATTTCAGTTTTCGAAATATTGAACTTTATACGACAACAATTTATATTTTCATGCTTCGTACACTAAATGTTCAAGATACAATAATAAGGCTTTCCAAGAACATAAAATGAAATAGAAACCTATAGTTAAAAAAAAGCCAGGAGACTTCTATGTGCGCCTGCGCATTCGGACTGTACTCTCTCTTTAAGGGAAAACACTCATTAAATAGGTCGGTAGGAGTATCATTGAATAGGGTAACTGCATCATTGACTTTGTTGCAATCATGAATTTGATTCGGATCCAATGTTTCCAAATTCCTCGTGATACTAAACTTCCGATGATCTCTTACGTCCCTGAAATAGACATCTTTTCTTCCTGGTTTTGTAACATACCGCGGAGAAACCACAACAACCAAGTGGTCGGATCCTACTACATCCTTGATCTATACTCGATCCACACTCGACAATGCGACGTCCGCGTTGACAAAAACGTCGTTTGCTTAAGCTTCTTGTTATTTAGTTCAAGCGCACTTTAATGAGAGTGTTCAAATGTTTGCTGAGTTAGGAATTCCAGTTTGATGGAATAATAAGACAGCAGTCTACAGATTGAGAACGAAGTTTGTATGTTGATTTGTATTGGAACTGATCTCCACCAAGATTTTAAATTGATTCACGCGGCAAAGTCATATATATTTTTCTTGGTCTTAGTACTCGTGAATAACAGATATGACTAAAGTCAATTTTATTTCCTGGTTGGTTTTCATTTTGTTCGTATTATACATTGAAACTTCTGTACAAAGCAATCACGATTTAGAAACATTATTAAAAGATATTAAGTCAATCGACAGCCAGCTAAAACTACGTCCGTGTAAGGAAGACTATATTCTTAAAGATGGTAAGACATTTCAAGACTATTCACTTTGGAGCAATGAAATCGGAACAACAAACAATGTTGCAAATTATCTTACATCGATGTGGCGGTATAAAGACGAGATTAATCGTTCCTTGATCGAGAACGAAATGGCTATATACACCTTAGCAAAGACTATAGCAATGTCGTCTGATAATATCTATGGATCTGTTGTTTGCTTTGACGAAAATAAATTCCAACAGAGACGGCAATTTTGTCCGTACGCTTTTAAAGATAGCAAGCGTGGAAAACGGGCAATAACAGTTCATGACTTGGGAAGATTTAACGACTATCTCACAACCCCTACTCATGTGTTAAGGCGCAATAACACATTTACAAAATACAATTTCAACTGGTGGCATGCTGGTAAAAAATATCTTTCAAACGCCACGCAGCTTAAACAGAACACTGTATATTTCGATACAAACTTAGATAAGCCGGCCAGTAATAGCCTAAACATTTCTGCAAATGGGACATCCTATAATATCACATCGAATTATATTCCCTCAAGCTATGGAAAATGGACTACGCCGTATTATGATTGTTTTGGTGGCCAGACTTGGATGATTACGTATTTGGCACCGTTATACGACGAAGCTGACACATATTTGTGAGTATTTTTCCAGACAAATTAGGCGTTCATATCTTAGGTAATGTTTCTCGAGATCAGGATCAATAGTCGAGTCACAGAATGCCGGAATAGATTTCGAGTTCTCGACAACTATTCAAATTTTAATGATTAATTGTTTTAATGTAAATTCAGTATTGAAAAATAATAATTTATACAAACGTTCTAAATATAATTTACTTCACTCTTTCGCTTTTGATTCAGTTATCGAAACCTTGCCCCCCGATTCTGTTATTTTCCGAGTTAAAATTGCCAAATTAATAGTTCTAGGCATCTGAAAGGTGCCTTTGTCTTTCAGAAATAGGTCGCCATACTAGTTGTTGATTCTTTTGCTTTTTGAGAAATAGTATGAGCTTTAATTTCTTCTTCAATGACTTGTTTGCAAGTTGATTTTCCAAGTCAATTTCTTTTGAAAGCAATAGTTACTGCAACTTTGTACCCAGGGCCTGCCCGCCCGATTTTTTAATATGGCTGCCAAAGCGGGGGAGCACCAGGTAAACGCTGGTTACGTGTCAGGCTAATACTCCAAGATTCTTGGAGTATTATAGCCTGCGAGCGAGCTTTATGGAAATAAAGACAGGGGGTGACGAAAATTTCACGAATAGAACTTGAATAGCCACGGATTAGTTATATTTTTTTATTTTTTGTTGTAATATTTCTTTTTAATATGTGACGTTTATATATACGTCGAATGTACACCAATCTTCTTTTATATCGCATCAAATAAATTGCCGAAGAGGCGATGTTTCGAATTTCGAAGGAAAATATTGGAGCCAACCTCGTACATACTAATTTGTGATAATTTCCATCAAATAAAAGGTATAGAGTATAAATTTGAAAATATTTAGAAGTATTTCATTGTTACAAATTATTCAGCAGATTCCCATTATTTGCTACATTGACTAGCTCTATGAAATATATATTTCGAAGGCTATTTAATATATTTTATACAGTATGTTAAATATAGTTAGCTGAATTTGTAGTTTAAATATTGAGAAACACATGGTCAAACTATGGCCTATAATAGTTATACTATACTCAGACTCCAAGTAAAGTTCTACTCTCACATGAATATTATTTAAAATATTAATTTATCGTTGCGAGAAACGTGTTTACACTTACAGTACTATTAAACTACAGTTTACAGCAGTATTACCTTCAAATACTTTGTTTTTACATTTACATTTAATGACCTGAAATTGTTTAAATGAGCCATTACTGTAATAACAGAGTGGCCAGGTTGACAAAGCTAAAATCTGATCAACCTAACCTGCTAGGATATTTCAAAAGTCAAACATCAGTTTCAGCATTTATTCAGCATTTTTTAATATTAGTGAGTTAATGAGGATTTTTAATATCCAAGACAACTGCTGGTCAGGGATTTTTTAGGGAGAAGGTTCAGCACCCCATCGTAAAACCTGCCCCCAAATCTCAAAATTTCATTATTTTGTTCCCTGGCCCCTACATTTATACCTTTTGTGCCCTTGAGATCTTTAAAAAACAACTCTGCAGTGTGACATATGTAACCTTGTTGCCATAATTAATTTCTGAAGGCTTCAATAAACTTCTTCTCTTACACCTGACAGAGATGGCGGCCATATGTATGAACAAGAAGAAATAATTTCTTCATCTATTGACCCCTTTCACCAAATTTTTAAATTAAATTTACTGAATGATTTTGAAGTTTTCTAGATTATTGAAAAGAACTTTATGGGTACAAGAAATGGGACAAAAACAGTTGAATTAAGCAAGATGCAAGTAACAATGAACAAGACCGTGTCACTGGATAGTATTTCAGCACACCGGCGGACATGCAACCTAATATCTGTACAGTTTTACACTGTACTAGAGATTCAGAATGAACAGTCCATATGGTTTTTTCAATCACCTGCATGCATGAATAATTTTATGTTGTGAATATTTTTTTTTTTAATATTCTCACTTTATAGATAATTATATATCAATTTTTAATATTATAAATGAATATATAGTTACTGCAGCTTTTGATTATACAAGTTATAATAATATTTCAGCAACTTATGACTGGTCTCTCTGAAATCCATATAGAAAGGTTCAAATTTGACTTCTACTACCACTACTTGATCTGGCAGTTGCATCCGATTGTTTGATTGGATAAATGAAACTTATCTGGTTAATAGGTAATGATGACAATAGCAGTAGTGGAAGTCAAATCTGATCTCTCTATTATTTTTTGAAGTTTTGCTCTAGTCACTTCAATTCAGGGTTGCCCATGTAACTTGGTTAGCACAGCTAGCTCTTCAAGGTGGAGGTCCAATTATTAGGATTCTGCAAACTAATTCTAGAAAACTAGATTTGGTTTGGGCTAAGCAAAAATTATCACACTTGTTTACTGATTTATCATGCTGATTTGGTTAATTGGTTGTTTAATTTAACAGTTAAAGTCCAGGCTGCATGTTTTTTTTTACACAGGATGACCTCAAGGCTCTTCCTCTGAAACAACACTTGGTTGCGATATCATCCAGCAAGTGAAAAAATGCACTACCACGGTCAAGGATCATTTGGCATGTTCATTAACTATGTTAACCCATTGAGTGGCGGCATGCACTGTCCACTTGACGAGTAAAATTGTCTGGCATTAGACAGAGTAAACTAACAAAGTATGGTGCATTGCCACTTAAAGGGTTAAAAACAAATACCACAGAACAATACTTGTACATATACAACAACAATCCTTTTATATATTTAATGACTTCATATTTACATATTGTACTGAAATATAAAACGATGAAATGAATGTCCATATATATTAGATGTCCATGAACTTGTTTCTATTTTTCTATTTTGTATAAGTTGTCCGTCTACAAACCACCTTTTAGTCATTATACATTATACAATAATTAAATTTGAATTCATTTGCTTCGCAAGTCGCAACACACTGAACAAAGTACTAAACCATGTAAACCTGTGCAAATGGTCGAGCGTCTTGAGCGACATATCCAAGTATTTTAAACGGCTCATTCGAACAAATCTCACTTTTCAACAGAAAGTATTGATCCATTTGATCGATCGCCATACTTTGAGAAAAGCTTGAAATGCAAAATTCACAGGGAAGATTGAATAATTTCTGAAATTAAACTGTTTGTCTTTGAGTTTCACCTCTAGTATTCAACCCCCGGTTGAGAAAAGTAACAATTACGTAAAGTTGGAGTCACGTGACCAGCGTTTACCAGGGCTATGCCGCCGCTATTAATTTGCGGCTAGTCCTGGCTACGATATTGTAGTTACTGTTCAGAGCAGTCTGCGCATTATCTATTGCCTCAGATTTATGCAATACTCAATTTATACTAATTAACTAGAAAGTATTTGGAAATGGCCAATCCTGAACGCCGGCTCGTTGAAGTGTTGCCATGACAACACGATTTTTTAAATTTTCAATTTTTCTATATTTCTTTGACCAAAATGGCAAAATAGTTGAAAGATTAGGACTTTTAGCTATAAAACAACAAATTTCCGAAATATATACTGTAGATATGTTATTCTGTTTTTTGTGTTTTGATTTAATGTAAAATTTAACTTGAAACTATTGAAACTACATTTGCCGTAAACATAGGCCTAATATGTTCAAATTGTTCGGTAATTGCAGTTCCGACTTCAAATCAGCTTGTTCTCCTTTACATTTTAAGCTTTTTTTTCTTAAATTAGACAGGGTAATTTGGTTAGGAATCTTACAGCTTCATTGGAAATGAAAATAGTTCATGTTTTAGGCAAAAGTTTAAGCACCAAAATTCATAAACATTAATAATTCAAAGCAAACTTGCTCCATTTTTTACGATTTCCCATAGTCCATAAATTTTTCATATTTCTTCAAACATTAATTGCTTCAAAGCTCATTGTGTGAAACGTGATTTTCCAAATATATGTTTTTGGAAAATTGAAATTTTGCTTATCCCACTCCTGGCAAACAGCCATTTTTTTGAGATCAGCGAAGTCCACCCATGATCAGTGAAGTCCACCCGTTTAGACGCGTATTTCAACACGAAAATTACTGTTGTAAATAAAGCCTTTAGGGGGCCCTGGTTTTTTAATTTTTGGGAATTATTTCAATGAAATCAGATAAAATATAAAATTTTCGAAAAATTTGCCGCTGGGATTTGCGTTCATCGCTTAGTTTTGAAATTATCCGCATTCAAAAAACGGCGTATGCAAGGTCACTCTCGAATAGGTCAAGAACGTGTTATAATTCCAAAGGAAGTGAAGTGAAGTCATATATATCCGGAAATATTTAAGAGTGGCTCGGGGCATTTGAGAAAGAAGGCATTTTCACTGCGATTTTGGAGTTAAATTTTCTGGCAATCGGTCACTACACGACTATAATTTTGCCAGCAGTGGCATATAGCACTACAGTAAAGTAAAGTAGAAGAACCGCCGTTTATGACTGCCTCGTTGGCCCAGTGGCGTGCTGGGTACTATTTTTCTGGGGGCAGTGGGCTATCAACCAATATGCGCCCCTATAATGTGACGCTTGATAAACGAGGGCCGAAGGCACGAGCCGAGCGCCGCAGGTGCGAGGTGTTCCTAGGGGGGTCCTGGGGGCATGCCCCCTCCCCCCCGGAAAATTTTTAAATTTAGAGTCTCTGAAATGATATTTCCTGGACTTTGGGGGGAAGATTTGTCAGGAAACGAGATTATAACGATTCAAAATTTGCAATTTGGTTAGAATTTCCGTAGAGGAACTTAAATTGGTACGGTATCAGTTTTACTATAAATCTTTATTTTAGATTAATTGTGGAGGAATAAAGTCACTCGTTGAGTATATTTGTATAAAATAGTTTGATTTATAATAAACGCCGATCTCACTAATAACTTGTAATGTTTTACTAAAACGGTGTGCTTGCACTTTATTTATACGAATCTGTCATGTTTTTTGTCAAAACATACAAAAAGAGTTTTAAAATACTATACAGTATATCACTTGATAGTTAGTACAATTTTTCACGTGTTGTATCGAATGTTGATAACGTCAAGTATTGCCCATATCGATCGATCGATGTTCTCCAATGTCTTTAATGTTTCAATAACCATTGTCGATTTCTATAGCATTTCTAAACATTTTCATATAAGCGCCTTCGACAATTCTAATGTCAGACCTCCAAGGCGGTAATAATCTGCTCCTTTTTCAAATACATTAAAATCTTCCGTTCAGTGCCGGTCATAAGTAGCAATGCTTCAAGTTTTTCTTGAGATAAAGACAAACGTGTGCGGGTTTGATTCGAATTGCAACTGCGATCGCGTAAACTTTACAAAGAGTTGGAAATGCATCCACTAGGTGGTAATCAGGATTCGACAAAATTCTCAGAGCTTCTAGAAATGATTGTTTATCCTTGTCCTTTGGTTCTTCAGCAGTTCCGTCGTCACTTGACTCGCTGTCGGTTTCTTCTTCGTAGTCTTCGGTTTCAGATTCAGAACCGGAGTCTAAATCAGAATCTTTCTCTTCTTCTTTCGGTCTTCATCAAAAATCACTGAACACTTCGATTTTTGAAAAGATTCTGCAAAGTTGAGCAGTTCATCTGCACATCGGTGCGAGTCGATGTCAGTGGTACACCATGCCGTTCAAGGTTTCCTTGCCTGGCTGCCAAAAGGGTGCGCGTTTCAGCATTATCTTACTACTCACATTACTCGATGAGTTATGATGTTTCTTGTTCAAACAACTAAATTGCGTACACAACTTTACATTATCATAACTATCTAATTTGCGCCGCTCTCGTGATTCGTGAAGCAATATAAAGGCATAATATAAGGGCATAATACAAGCAAAAAAGGGAATAATTCCCGTGATCGCTTCGAAACCTGGCCAATATTCCGGTTATGCGACATTGCGTGTGATCACTGATCATGTTTCTATATGAACGATTTCGTGTGAGGTAGCAATACTGGCTGGTTAGACAAAATAGTCTGTAATTTAATATATCACTTTGTCGCCTATGCGCTCAGTCTGTTTATAAGCCTATAAACACATTTTTTCTTGGTGGAAGTAACTATATTTTTTCAAATGCGTTTTTTCCTACCCACTTTCAAAATTCGACGCAGGATCGGCGCCCCCTTTTCATTTTTGCGCCCCCAAAAATTGCCAGCTGAGGGGGCCGTGGCCCCCCGGCCCCCCGGCTCCCCTGCCAGCACGCCACTGCCGGTTGGCCCAATCTTTCTGCTTTTGACTTGAGAGGATATTTGCAAATCGGGCAAACACTGATGTCTAGTAGGTTACACTCGAGGTGGAAAGAGTGTTTACAGCCTCAAAAAATGCGACACAAAGGACTATCACGACAGCATTCGATCACTGATTTTGAGATCAATACATTCGATTTTATCACATTTGCTGTGTCAATGGAAATTGAAGGTATATACCTTATATATTTCACATATAAACATATACCTGTCAATATATGAAAAGTGTATTTCATATTTTTTCGAGCACCAGATTGCCAGTCAACAAAAGGTTACTTATTTGCTTTAGTACGCAGATTTTCCTATATGTTTTATATAATTGTATAGAAAACAGTAAGACCACTGTATATTTTTATGACCATGAAATCAAAAACTATTTACTAAAGCATGGGTTGGGTTGGCAGAATTTCAAGATGTGGTTGGGTTGAAATATGCTGTAGATTCCCAAGCATTGATTTCCGTAAGTAAGAAGAGCAGCTTCGTAGTATAGCCTCCATGTTGTTTTCTTGTAATAAATAGTACTACCACACATGCTTGAATAACTCGTGATTAATTTCAACCCTGGGTAATTGAAACGATTGCATGACAACATTTTGGACCCGAGTCCCTGCTGACTGAAGCAGGGTGCAATCTGGTGCTCGAAAATGTATATGAATCATAAGCATGAAATGTATATGTTTATATGCGAAATATATAAGGTATATACCTTCAATTTCCATTGACACAGCAAATGTGATAAAATCGAATGCATTGATCTAAAAATCAGTGATCAAATGCAGTCGTGATAGTCCTTTGTGTCGCATTTTTCGAGGCCGTAGGCACTCTTTCCACCTCGAGTGTAACCTACTAGACATCAGTGCTTGTCCGATTTGCAAAAATCCTCTCAAGTCAAAAGCAGAAAGCTTGGGCCAGCGAGGCAGTAATAAACGGCGATTCTTCTATTTTGCTTTAGTGCTATATGGCCACTGCAGGCAAAATTATAGTCATGTAGTGACCGATTGCCAGAAAATTTAACTCCAAAATCGCAGTGAAAATGCCTTCTTTCTTAAATGCCCCGAGCCACTCTTATATAAATATTTCCGGATATATATGCCTTCGCTTCACTTCCTTTAGAATCATAACACGTTTTTGAACTATTCGAGAGTGACCTTGCATACGCCGTTTTCGATAATTTCAAACTAAGCCATGAAACGCAAATCCCAGCGGCAAATATTTCGAAAATTTTATATTTTATAGGATTTCATTGAAATAAGTCCAAAAAATTAAAAAACCAGCCCCCCTCCCCCAAGGCTTTACTTACAACTCTAATTTTCGTGTTGAAATACTCGTCTAAACCAGAAGTAGTAACAATGTACGCGTTCTGATTGGCTTAGCGCTAAAAGGTAAACAAATGCTCTGATTGGTCGAAAACAAAATTCATCCTCGTTCCGTACAGCATGAATGACCCGGGAGGAACCCAGACATATCATCAGAAAAAAACCCGGAAGGAAACCTTGCAGCAGTTCGTCGAATTTAACCTTCTCAAAAAGTTTTGAAATGACTGTCAGTAGGGTTATCGGGCGGTATTTTTGTTTATTAGTTGAGTCACCTTTTTTGAGTGCAGAACAGACGTTACTCAATTTCCATTCACTAGGCCATGTTGCGTTGACTATACAATAATTAAATAATTTTGCAAGCGGCGCAGTTATTCCATCTGAGGATAGTTTAATTAAGCAACTTAGGTGATATATTATCATAACCAGGTGCCTTGTTGACATTAATTGCGTTAATCAATTCTTGTATATAATTAGAATCAACTGCTTGAAAGGAAAACACCATATTTGAATGCTTTCATTTCTTATTTCTTGAACGCTTTGGTGGTTCTCAAAGTTCTCTTCAGGAATGTCAACGATTTTGCCGATTACTAGCGCTGTATAATATTCGATCATTAAGGAAATAAGCAGTGTCAGCAACGAGTTTCCCATCATCAACAACTTGAATTTGTTGATCAGTCTGATTCTTTGACGTAGGGAGGAGAGGCTTCATTTTCTTCCAGAATTCAGCACTCGTTGTTGAAGTTGAATTTGAACAGTAATTCCTCATCGCCTCACGCTTTAATTTAGTAGCCCAATATTTCGCTGACATTTGTATCTCAGCCATGTTAATTCGTCACGCTGCCGGCGAAATTTCTTATAAGGACGATTTCTTAGTTTTGTTTCACGTTGGATGATTGAGTTTATCCAAGACAAATGTCTATCACGCATGAATGACCTTTTTACAGGGGCATTGGTGTTCAATATATCATAAAGCTTTACCCAGTGCTGCCATACATCATCTATGTTATCGTATAGACATGTATATATGAACTATCTAATGGCGCATTTAATGGTCAGTCGTAAAAGCTGTTTTGTCCAAATTTTTAATTGAGCGGAATTCAATTGATTTTCCCTTGGAGGTTGGGAGTCTTTGCTTTCGGAAAATATATACTAAATCGTGCTCGCTCACTCCAGTATGTAACCTCCACTGGTTACAAATCTTTCGACCTTAGATACCAGTAACCTGAAGTTCAGGCCCTAATTTGAAATAGGGCCTGACACAAAACCTGTCTAGACTGTGGGGCGCCCACATGTTATTTTTAGACACAACATGCAATATGATTGACAAGTATTGTAGATTTCGTTACACAAAAAAATTATATTCTCATGAACATGTGCGCAGAGTTTGTATTTTGCTTTATAATTAAACTTAAAAATTCAAGGTACTTTTATATAATTAAGAGTCAATTTCTCTATTTAACCGAACAGCAAACAAAGATTTAATTAGTCAGTTCTGTGCATGGCTTCACTGCCAAGCTTTCTCAAGGTCTCAACTTCCTGGACGCGGATATACTCTAACGGGCTATTAAACAACAGCAACAATGAAATTCTCAATCGTACCACGAAGAAGGCGATGTAGCTCAGAAAACAACGCCTGTAGCACCTGATATTAAAAATAAGACTTTTGCAACAACAAGCTTTCGAATACATGACTAGTTTGGCTGTTCTTTCAGCGTCGTGTGTCCAAAATTCAATTCGTCCAAGATTTTGATAAAGCTCTTTCAAAATACTGTTTGTTTGATTTATTTTCTTCCATAAAGCATAAAAGAAAAGAAATTCGAAGAAATCGATAATGGAATTTGTTAGGTGCGTTTGACCTTTATATTATTAATTGTCGCCTTTGACCGAGCTATTTTTAAAACTGTTGTTTATGTAAACTTGCAACCAATCAAAATCCTTCATGATGCAGATCAACCAATCAGATTTCCCGTCCACCAGGTGGACGGGAATCCCACAGTTTAGATAGGTTTTGTGTCAGGCCCTATTCCATAATAGGGCCTGAACTTCAGGTTAAGATACCAGTATCACATCGATTAAAGTTTTGGATGTTTTTGTCACTCTAGAGGGTTTACTTATCATGTTTTTAAGCAAAACTGGTCACAATATTCTGCTAAGTTCCCGTTAGGTTCCTCAGGATTTTCTGGACCTGTTAGCATATTTAGATTGAAATCACCAATATAAATCAGTTCATTACGTTTGTTGAATATCAATTCAGTGGCACTTGAGCATGACGAAATGAAATAATTAACCTTGAATTTACTGGGCGACCTATAACATGTACAGACAAGAAACCAACAATTGTTGCAACCTTTAACATCCAGACATATGGATTCAGTACCTTCCGGCTCGAAGTTCATTCTCCTACAAAAGACGACTTTGTTATGTATAAATACCAACAGACCGTCAGCTCCCCGCTTTCTATCTCGTCGAACAATGCGATATTGTGGATGACTGATAAAAAGATGTGATACAGTAGCATCAAGCTTACTCTCAGCTATAAATAACAAATCAAATAGATTGCGTTTAACATCGATACTACTTCATCAACCTGTTTACGTTTAAGTGGCCAATCTTCGTATTATTCTTGTAATAGCTGCCAATGCTTTCTTCATACCAGTCAAGTGAATAATTAGTTGCCTTCGAAAGGCCTAAAACTCGGGATGATACAGCATTAATATGTTGTTCTGCACAACTTACACGGCCATTATATCAAAATGGTGAAGACATCCATTGAGAGACCATCACCAGACATCCATTGCGTCACCATCGCTTATTGGTTAAGAACATTCATTTACGTTTTTTGGCTTTGTCATCAATATTTAAAGTGATAAAATACTTCAGATAGATCGCTATTATGAATTTGGTTTATATTATTGTGTTCACATCACATATACAGGTAGTTAACTTTTAAAGGGGGAGGGGCGGTTCAAATCCGCCAACGTGATTTGTATTTACTAGTAGATTTGACCACTGGCGGGTCCATACCACTAGTAGATTTGCATGGACCAGGCATGGATATGGACCGGGACTCCTAATCTACGGGCATGAAAATCAACTGGGACAACCGCAAATATAAGTGCCATTCTCTGAGCCTAGCACAAAATAAGAGCCAAACCAATCATCAGCCTGCTCACACATGTTTGCGTGACCAGAGTAGTATATCGAACAAAGCAAACGGAAAATTACGGCAACCAGATTTTAAAAAAAATTTAATTAATTAAAGCGTGGATTAAGTTGCTCATATGGCTAAAATCCTAAAACTTTGAATCAATTAAATAGGCGAATAACAAAAGAACGAATGATCTTGACATGAAATTTATGCTACATACAGGGCAGGAGTAGATGTATCTGAGTCATATGTTGTTGTTAAAGTGCTTATGAAACGAAAACTTTGCCTCATGTCTTATTGTTTTAATTATTAACCAAAAGGTACTGCTTAAATGATGAAGAATGACGTTTACAGTTTATTCGTATCTCATCTCATTTCCAAGTTATAGCACTTTGTATATTTTGAATTGTGACGTCAAAAGTATGACTTGAGCTAGTGGCAATAACAAGAAAGTCTGATATTTTGGTAATCGTTTAATAAAATTCAATGAAACTTGGCGCATATAGTGAGAGAATCAAAATCAATAATGTGGCATGTTTATGTGGTTCTTATGGCAACACACTCCTCCCCAACTGCTTCTTAATATCTATATGATCCATTTCCAACGAAATAAATATCAATATCTGAAATTTTCGCTTATTACTATAATACGTGTGGTGCCAGAGTTTGCCAGAGTTTTGCCCTATGGAGCTTTCTTCCTTTCTCAAATTCAACCCAATTGAGCCGTTTCAACAGTACTTTGGAAGATATTGCTTAGTTTGTCCCGACACTATGCGTTCAGATCTGTTTTGAAGTCTTTGCAACTTTTTGGAGGAGGTTGGGGAAGCGTGTTCAATGATTACGTCTCATCACTGCCTCGTCTCCAGGCGCTAATTAAAAATTTCATGCGAGTCACTATATGAAAGATTTACATGAAGTAGTGCATCGCGATGAACAAGCGCAGGGGGATATGGGCTTGAGGCATCAAAATTGAGGAGCGCCTGGGAGATCTTGTGCCGTTTCTTGCAAAATTCGTCTGTTTCTTGCAAATCGTTGTTTTTCGACAGTTTTGGGGCTTTTTTTGCCATTTTTTTTGAGGAAACAACATTTCAAATTGTTCAATTAAACATGTGATTACAGTCAGATGATTTTTGATATCTTTTAACGCTTTGAATGATTCCGAGATCTCAACACTTGAAGAGTTCTACGGAGCTGTAGAAGCCGGTTAATATAATAAATTTAGAAGGTATGGAAAAATGACAATGAATTTTTATCACAACGAGCAATTTATTTCAAAAATATACAGCTACAAGACGTTTTTTAAACAAGGGAGCGATGCGACTTTATTTTAAATTGCATTTGCAAGATTCGTCTCAGGATTTCAGTTACGTGCTTATTTACATGCAGTATGTTTGATTTTCACGATGCAAACGATCGACAATATTTTGAATAATTCAGATAAGGATAGCTTTATTTCTTTGTGGTGATATACATGAAGGGATTTATATTTAGATCTGTTGTTTACTTGTACGTTCGACAGCTATTTATACAAGATCGGCCAGGCGCTAACCAGAACGCTCATATCCAACTCCCCTTTGCGCGCCTAGAATGTGACGCACTACTTCATGTAAACCTTTCATATAGTAACTCGCATGAATTTTTTTTTATTAGCGCCTGGGGACGAGGCAGGTCTCATCATATGTTGCCCAGTATTGGTTGAAAATTTTTTGCCAATTCGAAGTCAAACCGGGCTGAACATCTTCTAACATCAGCCAAAATTACCTGGGAAATATAATTTCGAGGATTTTGTTTATTCTAGATAATTCGAGCATATAAAGAGGACGACAATTAAGGCACATTTTAGAAAAAAAATGTGAATACAGTTTCGAGCGGTATAAATACATCTTTGATATGATATGATATGATATCATAAACAAAAATAATAACAGTTGCTATTTTCTGTTTTAGGGGTTGTGTAACTTTTGACATCGAGCTAAACTCGATTGAAATTGACCAATGTGATGCACCGGAAACAAACCAAACTTGGAAGAGTACACTTCACTTTTATGGCACCCACGCATGTCGAAATGAGACAACTGAGGTATACTATTGAATCAGTGTGACGTTTGTACAAGAGTATTTATTAAAGTGTGACGTTTGTACAAGAGTATTATTAGTGTGACGTTTGTACAAGAGTATTAATTTAACATGATTTCAACAATTATTATTTTCATTTTCAAACCAATGGTGTTCCCTCCAATCTCATTGCCTCTCGCCAGCTCCATTTTAGCAAGAATCGCACTCAATAGCCGTGCGATTCACAATTATCATGTATTTACCGATACCTCGGGAAAGCAGTGTGTTTTGTGGACCTGAGACCGCCGTTGTTTCCAGAGGCGAAGCCAAGGGCAACAAGTGCGTTCGAGTGGCCACAAAACACACTGCTTTCCCGAGGTCTCAGTAAATGCAGCTAGGTCTGTGTATGCATCATTTTGTAGTGCGTCCATGAGCATGGAGGTGGATTTACAGCTGCAAACTATCATTGCGTCTGCCGCAAAGGATTTTATTTCCCTGATCTTAATGCGGAAAAGAAATACTTTCATGGAAGTGAAGTTTTAGCTGCAAAGGGGAAACCAAATTATAAATCATACGACTGTCTACCGTGCCGCAAAGGTTGCGAAGAATGTGTCGATGATACGCCGTGTATGTATCAGAGAAATATGTTACTGAGGACCGTGCTTCTTACAATCAATGAGATCATCAAAGCAGTTGCAATTGGCTTAGGTGTGTTTGTCTTCGCCTTCAGAGAGAACAAGGTATATGTAACATAACTAATGAAACGAAAACGAAACACAAAATAAATCCAAAAACAAAACAAAATACGGACACAAAACACGAAACACAACACAGCACAAAAAAGCAACACAGTACTGTAGAATACTATGACAATTACTATTGTTTAATTTTAGATTATTAAAGCATCCAGCCCTGTTTTCATGGAAATTATTGTCTTTGGAGTTGTTCTTATGTATTTTGAAGTAAGAATCCGTAAATTTATCCAATATGATTTTCGGAAGAAGCACTTTCTCAAAACACTTTTACATGTTGCCTTAGAGCTGCATGCACAGGAGTTTGTATGTGTTTGATTTATCACAGGTAATCTCAACTGTTTTAGGGTAAAAGGACCATGGCGGTCAACATGGCGTACGTGCCAAACCAGAATTTGGGACAATAATTATCATGGAAGCAAAAACTATGCTTAATTTAATACGATTATTGTACATTTCATAAGGATTGTCATTCTTTACTCTAAATATAATACATTTTATTTCACTCCCCCCCAACGAGAACACGATTTCAGCCATATTTTGCCGTCTTTTTGCTTTTTATCGCCGAGTCTCGCGAATATCACCCAGTTGTTGTACTTTACATAAAGGTAAATGGCTAAAGATAATATCAACCAAGTTTCATCAAATTTTGAAGCAGTGCAATGTATTTTATTATCGATATTGTGTCCTTCGATAGTTGGTCAAATATGTCGCCATTGCAATTCCTCGTAGCTTCTCTGCCCGATAAAAGCCACTTATACGTCTTTGTGTGTATTTAGATTACAGAATCCAAGAGATTGTAAAATAGTCCCAATGGCAAAATTGAAAAAAAATAATTGCACTTGAAAGGAAAAAACCTTCCAGAACACATTTTGGATCATAATAAAAACATATAATTCGAAATCTTCGCAAACACTTTTCGGGGGGGGGGGGGGGGGGAGATTATTACGTTTATTCGCCACCACAGCAATCCAATTATAAATATATTATATTTATTGTATTTTTATGATATGTGATGAAAACAATAAATATTTGCTTATGTTTTATCATCAATCATAAAAATGCAATAAATATAATATTTTAGTTGGTTTGCTGTGGCGGCGAACAAACGTTTACTGAAAATATTATAAAAATGTTATGGGAGCTTTATTAGTTTCAGGTACAACTAATGTTTCGCTTACGAGGCATTTCACTGGCGCCATATTTGACGAAATATCGAAGGACACAATATCGACGATAAAATACGCTGCACTGCTTAAAAACTTGACAAAACTTAGTTAAAATATTCTTTAGCCATTTATCATTATGTAAAAGTACAACAACTGGATGATATTTGCGAGACTCGGCGATAAAAAGCAAACAAGGTGACAAAATATTGCTGAAATCGCATTTTCAGGGGAACGTAAGTGAAATAAATTGTGTTGTTTTTTAGCACGTTTAGAATGCTAAAGCCTTTACCGGCTTGAATAAATTCAAGTGACAAACAAATTAGGATTTAACAATATACAGTGTTAAATATCTCCACATGACCGACATGGCAATTTTAACTTAATTTAAAACAGTTGAAATACATCTACTAAATGAAACGCATACAAACTCCTATACAGATAATACAGTATGGCAATTGATAAAACTAGAATAGTGAAGCGAATAGCACGAATGGTGCGAATAGTCGACGAATAGTACGAATAGTCCGCGAATAGTCGACGAATAGTACGAATAGTCCTCTAATAGTTGACGAATAGTACGAATAGTCCGCGAATAGTCGACGAATAGTACGAATAGTCCGCGAATAGGCGACGAATAGTACGAATAGTCGACGAATAGTGCAATGGAGACTTTGCAAGGTTTTGCAGCAGTGCCGTAGAACTAAATTTACCGGGGGGGGGCTCTATTGACAAACATGAAATCGTGAAACATTCGTTGACGTACGTCAATGACGTCATACGTAACCGGTAAAAATTACGGGAACCACTGAGTACTTTAATAAAATATAAAACAACGGTAACTTAGCCTGCGTAGCAGGTGCATTCCCCCCTAGCTTTTCCCACCCTCGCCCTCCCCCCTAAATAGCGCCTGCTACGCAGGCTACGGTAACTTCGAAAATAAACATTTTAATATTCTAGCTTTCGACTAAAATTCAGTCATCGTCAGGAAACATATTTCATATTTTTTTAATTAAAAATCATTCCTGGTGGTGGGTGGTAACCGTATGAGTCATGAATTTTACTGATGGAATTTTATTGGAATTTTACTTGTAAGTTGTGACTTTGTTAACTGAAGATTTAAGGGCTTAAGTGATCACGTGTGCTTGGAAAACGTGATTTATATTACGAAACAAGAGAAGCTATCGATCTATTATTTAAGCCCGTTTTTGGGCGAATTTGTTCGCGCGAAGCGAAAACCAAATTTCGGCAATGTGATTGGTCAGCGAAAAAATTTGCCGCGAAAAAGTTGGATCAGTTCCTACTTTTTTACTTGTCGCTTCGCGCGAACAAATTCGCCCAGTAGAAATAGTCATTCTAGTGACTGTCATTCTACTTCCTGTCAAAAATTTGTTAAAACTCTGTGGTTCCCGTAACTTTTATTACCGATTACGTATGACGTCATTGACGTCAACGAATGTTTTCACCATTTCATGTTTGTCAATAGAGCCAAACACCCCCCACCCCCCGCTTCGGTAAATTTAGTTCTACAGCACGGTGCAAAGCCTTGCAAAGTCCCTATTGCACTATTCGTCGACTATTCCTACTATTCGTCGACTATTCGCGGACTATTCGCACTATTCGTCGACTATTCGCGGACTATTCGTACTATTCGTCGACTATTCTCACTATTCGTCGACTATTCGCGGACTATTCGCACTATTCGTCGACTATTCGCGGACTATTCGTACTATTCGTCGACTATTCGCACTATTCGCACTATTCGCTTCACTATTCTAGTTTTATCAATTGCCAATACAGTATAGACAAATATATTTTTGGGTGAAATTTCATATAAACGTCCCAACGCTCGAAAAAGTATGGATGTAAGAAATTGCTGTATATAATTTTTTTTTACAATCTGATGTTTTAGATCACACTCGGGTATTTGGAAGATTCTGTTCTGCTTTGCATAGCAAGATCATGGCTCTATCATACCGGATTTATTTTGTCCTTTGGATCACTGTTTTTAAAAACTTGGAGGTATAAAACATTGTTTTTGTCCACAAAGCAGTTGATACGAAAAACAGTTGAATTCAAATCGCTCGTGAATGAGGTCATTCATCACAACAGTTGACATAAACTGAACTTATTCACCACAACAACACACCAGTCCTAAGCTAAAATAAATTAAATTAAAATAAAACATTTTACACGTTAAACAAGCATTTTATACGTTATTTCTTTCCATTTATAAGCATCACAAATATACAGTAAAATATCGGGTTCAATATCCAAAATTGCAACATACAGTATTAAATTTGGACGTCCATATTCCACATCCCGGCGAAGTGTAGACAATTCACACATAGACTCGTTTCTTATACAGAATGTTTTCATTTTCTAGAATTGCGGTAATATTTCGCTTCCATAAAAACAAAGCGGTAAAGAAAAGAGACACAACATTACTCAAATATTTGTCATTAATGTTGATTGCTGTCTTGTGTTATCTTATGATTTGGACATGGGCGCAGACGCATGAGTATGAAATTGAAAAGACTGCCGCTGGTTATAAGTACAGACGTTGCGTTCGAAAATGGTTTTCGAATGCTATTGCAATAGGCAAGTAATTATCCTGTCAGAACAAGATGATTTCATTTCAGACATAATGTTGTCTACACTCGCTGACTACATGATACCGACCCAGTTGAATTAAAATCAATCACCCAACAATTACGTATAAAACGTCGTGGTCTAAATGCCGTTTCCGACTACAACAATCGATTACAACAATCATCCGAGCAATCCTTTTTGAACAGATGCTGTAGCTGTCCAGTTTGACAGTTTATGGCCTGCTTTAGTTCGCGTAATTCCCATGCGTGCACAACATGCAATTATAGTGGAAAAACATTTGACTTTCTTGGCCTCCCACCGCGCGCCACTAATTATACATCGCTAGTCCCGCATCAACCTCGTTTCCAGGGTCTGTCCTTTGGACAGACCCTGCGGACGAGGTTGGTTCTACACTTGCAAATCACGGCTTTTATTTAAACATTCGTAAAGTTTCACGGTAAATTAAACCATTGCCAATGTTCAATTGTATAGGTGAGGTGCTTCTTCTCTTCTGCGGTGTATGGTTGTGTCTTCGTGTCCGCAAAACTCCGTCAGCTTATAATGAAAGTAAATATATTGCGTGGTGTATCTATAACACTGTATTTACGAAGATCCTCGTCGGCCTGTTGAGGTTGGTTATTTTATACTTTGAATTTAAATATTGCACTTAATCATTACAAGGTAATCCAGAAGTCAACTACACATGCAAAACTCTCACATCTTGTCAACAAGATGTGACTGTTCCAAATGGCCTTGTAGGAAGGCTGTCAACAAGCTGAAACAAAGTGTCAGTTTGCCTATTTGTTATAATATTGTCACGATCATCACTTCTTAACAAGTCGATAATTAAATGCAGTTGTTGATCCAATTCGAGTTGTCAATAAGCTGGCAAAGCGCTGGTAACACATTGTATAACATGGATGTCAAATGTTGGCATGGAAGGTAACCCAGTTACCTGCAAGTGACCTGAGCTACTGTAACTGCATGCATGGGTCAGAAGGAATTGAGCTCAATATCGTATCAGAAATTCCCCATTATCCTTTTGGTATATATTTGTAGAATATGTTCAGATTTGCGTGAAGTTTTTCCATGTGGTAGATAATAGATGTTTTTTTCTAAAAAACTCAAGGTTTGAGTGATGTTTCTTGTAGCCAAAACTGATATTCTGAGGCTTAATGTCTCACCCCCCCCCCCCCCCCCCCCCCCCCCCACCTCCTTGCAGATATACAGACACAAATCCTGATAACAAGTTGTTGAAACAGGATTGGTACAAATTTGCTGCAGGTTCGTTACATCTCCCGAAGTACGACCATCGGATTGTGAATGTCAATATTAATATCCATTCTATACACGATAGCCAAACGAAACTAAAATATCTTGTTACATATAAACTGGATAATTCCGATCTGTCAATTGTGTATTGTATATCTCCGGCCCGACGCGCAAGTCGCATATTTGAGCAATCGAACCTAAGTCATAGAACCAATGGTGAAAGACACATGCAGCATAACGTACACAGCGCCACAAAAACAGATCTTTACAAGTCTTAAAACTGGAAAAAGCGGTAGCCTTATAGCCAAATTGCCAATTCACTTTATAAATTATTCCCCTTCAGGATAGTCTTGGACAACTTTGGCAACCCAGACGTGTCGTACGTTGTGGATTTCCTCTCGACTCATATTGTCGCAACGATCTTGCTCGCTTTGCTGTTTATGTCTAAGGTATGCATGGTTGTGTAAATTATAATCCAAGACCAACGGCGCGGAGCACCATTCCAGGGGAAAGCCAGGTCGAGGGTTGTGAGTACTAATTCCGCAGGGCTATTTATACCCGACGAAAGGAATCAATAGAAATATGTCTAAAGTTCATCAATGACGGCGGGTTCATCACTGTTTCATGGGCGGGCCTCCCACTGATCTGAAAAGTAAGGTAGTTTTCAGGATTGGACCAGTAGAATCAGGGGCATTTGAAGAAAAAAAACATCAACGAGAAACTCGAATACTGGACATTTAACATATAATCGCCGAAGGCGAGGTGATTATACGGGAATATACACCAAGACTGAGACTAATAATTGTTTTAGTATTTTACATAAGTCTTTTGTGGGGATTTTTGGGACTTTATTTTTTTAATTTCGTTTATTTTTTATTAGTAGTTTCCACAAAACGTCTGGTCCGCCATTTTGCAAATTTCAATTTGTTATACTCACTTGTGCAAAAATACGGATTGTCGTAATTTGAAACTAAAACTAAACTTTTTAAAACATTTGGTCAAGCGTATATGGCTGAATTTTACATTAAATTGAAGTTCATATTACGTCTAATAACATACCTATCGTATATATTTGGGACATTGATAATTATGTAGGTAAATGTGATAAAATCTTGAACTGTCTGTGCCAGTGTAGTTAGTGCCAATAATAAGAAGCTTTCGTTGGGAGGGATGCGACCACCTCAAAAATAACTCACATTACAGAATAATGTGATGTAACTAGTAATTCGATCCGGAGATTATAGGGGAATCTCTTGAGGTTTGGGCGTCACTTTTCAAGCGAATAGATAAAAATAATAAAGTGATCGTGTCGCCATGACAATCACCTCAAATCTGAACTATTTCATATTTGAGAAATAATGTTGTTTTCCTGGCAAGGCGAAGGGTTTCTCCATGCACGTATTTTTGGTATAGTTATCCATACAAGAAGTAAATACCAGTGGGAGAGCACCAATGCGAGGCTTATCGACTTTATTGACTTTATTAAAAACGTTACTATTTCACCAGACTAGTTATTTACAATGATATTAATTAGAAATATAAAAGAATTAGGGAAAAAAGTGTTTTTCCAATAGGCCGTGTGCATGCACAATCTAAATATACATATTAGCCTATATAAAATCAAAAAAGGTTTTAAATTCAATGGCTGGAAATAAATTTCCAGGATGAAAAATTAACCTGGGACAGCCACATCGAAATTTTTTGTAAGAAAGTGACTGGCACGGCTAAAGCCGTATGTACCAGCTGAATCCCTACAAACTATATAATATAATGCTCTTGTGTAACCCTATTTTCATTAATCCTGTCCTTTGTTGGACAACCGAGGCAAGCAAGTGGAAGAAGAGTTACAAAAATGTCAATCTGGCAGCAAAAGTACTGATCATGGGTGCAAATTTTGATTAGAGAGTGGGAAAGTGTCCCGCTCAGAAATCAACGACTTGTTGTTGGTGGAAACGGGCGTAAATTTAATTTATATGCGCGCATGTATATTAAATTGCTACATGTCCAGAAACGTTTCTTATTATTATTATTATTATTATTTTTTTTATTATTATAGAAAGATTACACATTGAATAGCTACAGTAAGTAACTAAATTAGAACGCGCATTACATATATATAGAAGATATACATTAATTACTGAACTATCTAAATTAGGTATTATAAAAGTTTCAATAGAGATAGTTATATTAAAAAAAAGGAGAGTTATTAACAAAGGTTCAATTGGCGAAACAAATGGACTAATCCAAAAACTATCACTACGTGTTAAAAATGTTTCGATAAAAATATATAAAGTTATTTTATATATTATATTATAAAATAGAGTTATTATAGAGTTCAATTGACGAAACGATTGGACTGTTCCGAAAACGTTCTGTTCTGTAGTGGTAATTGTAAAACAATTGACCATTCTGACGTGTAACCCTTTGCCGTACCTTGCAAAGTTTATTAGGAAGAAGATGGTGCAGTTTGTGTTGCGGGTCAGACATTTTACTGATAAGATCAATGCACATAGTATAGCGACGTTGTTCAAGCGCATGCATTCCAGCTTTCAACAATAACTTTTCGTAATCTTTTTCGGAATAAATTATTCTCAAAGCCCTTCTTTGTACTTTCTCAATACTGCTGCTCTGTGCTTTAGTAAGGCCCCATGCCAGACTTGCGCTCCATATTCAAGTGTCGGCCTGATGGCAGAGATGTAAAACCGTTTCATATCAATCTTGTCAGCACCGTATTTCTTTAAAGTTTTTAATAAAAAGAGTCGCTTAACTGCTTTCCCTATTATATAATCAGTATTAGTTTGCCACTTTAAATTATCGTCAATCCATAAGCCCAATAGTTTGAAAGTGGAAACCCTTTCCAACGTTGTATTATTGAATGTTAGTGGTTGAATAACTGTTTTGTTCTGACGGAAGTCTAACTGCATTTCCTTACATTTTTTCAGGTTCAGCTCCATTTTTTGAGACGTGGCAAAATCCATAACTTTCATAATATTATTGTTCATACTCCCAACTTGCGTACCCGAGACATGATCACGGACGTTAATAACCTCTGACAGTGTTGTATCATCCATGAAAAGAGTGAGGTCATCATCACCATCATCATTATCATCATTGCTCGAATTAGTAAAACTGCTCTCGGTATCTTTTATCACTGCCTTCAGTCCGTTAATGTGAACAACGAACGCGATTGGACCAATACGACTACCTTGGGGAACTCCCCCATTAATCATGCAGCTTGTAGAAAGTTAGTTACCAAATCTTGTCACTTGCATCCTCTTACTCAGATATGACCCCAACCAGCCAATAAGCCCCGGTCTGACTCCAATTTTACAACAGTTGTCTAATAGCAGGTTGTGATCAATAAGATCAAATGCCTTGCGAAAGTCCAAAAACACAATTCGTATTACTCGTTGTGATAAGTCCAACGCTTTATTCCATTTGTGTAGAAGGTGAACGAGCGCAAGTACTGCTGACGAGCGTGGGACACCACCATACTGTTCCTTACAAATTTTTGACTCAATATCGTCATACATCCAATCAACCACGTAAGACTCCTGTATTTTTGAAATTGTGCTAGTGAGAGCTTTTGGTCTTATTTCATCCAGATTCGTGTATGGTTCCACTTTTGGTATAGGTGCTAGGCGGAACTCTTTCCACAGTTTTGGAAACACCTTCTGCCCAAATGATGCACTAAAAATGTTTGCTAATGGGATGAAAAAAAATGCGCAAACATTTTGATTATCTTGAGGTAGGGGTCGTTTGGACCGCGAGCTTTGTGAGACTGAATGGACAAAAGCTTTTTCGCAACGCTTTCGGGTGTAACAGTCGGCAAGACATCTGAATGACCATCTGGATTGAATTTCTGGGAAATCATTTGTTAGATCTGCGAAAAACGTATTAATCATATTTGCAGCATCACTATCTTCGAGTTTGGGGTCTGATCCCTGCTCACTGAAATTGATAGAAGGTTTCTTCTTTCCAGTCAGTTTCCAGACCTTCTTCCACCACATTCGGGCATCCCCGTTGGTATTCAGCCTTCCAATGTTCATTACATAATAGTGCCTCTTTGCCTTTGTAATTTCCGATGCTACTCTATTACGAAGTTTCCTAAATTCTGCATTCTTCCTTGTTTGTATGCGTTATCTCGCTTCCTTAGTAACTTTTTTATTTTTGTTGTTATAAAAAATTTATCATCGGAGTGCATTCGAACTGTTCTCTCCGGGAATAGTAATTAATCATATCGTTAGTAGCTCTGGTAAAATCCTCAACCTTCTCATCTACGTTCTCAAGATTTAGTACGGTTGACCAATCATATTGGGCAAGACAGGAACCAAATTGTTGCAGGTTATATCTTGGCGTTGGACGAAATTTAATTTTCTTAACAATGTTTACCGAGCGCTGCTGTGATTTCGTCATCCAAATAACCATATTATGGTCTGAGGTAGACAGTAGTGCAATTACTTCAGGGGGGTTATAATGTGAGCTCATGTTAGTAAAAATAAGATCTAGGATATTGGAGTTTCGTGTCGGATCCTTAACCACTTGCTTTAAATTAAAATCACAATAGTTAGAAAGACACTTCATATCAAAACCGTTGCTGCAGGGATTAAAATCTCCAGCCACAATAAAACCTGTTTCTGGACT